TAAAGGAGTTAGTATTGGTGACAGGTAAAATTCGAAAGCGTATGAAAAAAAAAGATGTCGAATTTCGACAACTGGGCGATACTAGTTGATAATAAATATACGTACAGATTCGATGTTTTTTTTAAGAAGCCTGTGGATTATTTGATATTCACACCACCTTCGGAGATATAGAACAATATGTAGAATTCTTTTGTTGACCAAAAACGTTATGAATCTATTGAATAAATCTTTGTAATACTGGTAATAAACGATAGAGTTTTGAAAAAGGCTGCCGTCGTTTAAAACATCAATTAATAAATTAGTGAGATACAATACGCTCAGAAAAGAGTAGGCCAAAATTTCTCTCAACCCAAGATTCGGTAACTGTAATCATATTGTGCAACTATAACGAAATCACGTGTTGAGAGTAAACTTTTCTCTGTGAACTTTTTGTTCCAAGCCCAGCGAACAACCTATTGCCGGGGGGAGGAACGACTTAGGTAGATATGTATGTACATATGTATGAATGTACCTTCTCCTAGTTTGCCAGCGTACTTTGTGATCATTTCATATCAATAATTTTCCCTCTAATGTAGCGATAGCCCCAAAGTCGATTTTCTCCAACAATTTGTGGTGTGTTGTAACAAAAATGGAGTGATCTACAATTTTACGCCCTATCGGAACTTCAAATGGTACTATGAGAAGCTTTTCATGGCTTTTTGTATTTTTAGATGTTGCGGGACCAGGGATTTTAGCTACCGTGTGGGGAAGTTCGCACCTTTAACCACTCGGCTACGGCGCCCACCTGTGATACTTCGTTACTTGTTAAAGTAACTCTCACATTTCTTCAGAATCAAGAACAAATTCGTTACTTTAAAATTTCTAGTGAATTTAATTAGTCTGTGAAATCTTTAAAGTCAGGTAAATAAAAACAGAAAATTCAGTTTACTGGTCGAAGGGGATAATTTGCATCAATATGAGCTCTGAAATACAAATGCAAATAAAAGAGTTATAAAGAAACCTCGATTTTCGCGGCTTTTAGCGCGTGGCACGGGCCATAATTTTTATGGCCTCGAATCCTCCCAAGTAATATTCTAAACTGCGGGGAATCATTACAAACTTTTTTCGCAACCAAGCCTAAAGTACTTGTATTTCCATACGTATGTATGTATATAAAAAGTCAAAATGACGTCATTGATGAGAACATTTTAAATTAAATACACATGTAATGTGTGGTGCAATATGCTTAAGTTATACAAACATATGTATGTAAGTTTTTATATGCAAAGTGCATATGCATGTCTGCAAAGCAAAGAGAGAATCAAAAGAGAGCGTTTCCCATATCTAATATGTATATTTATATATATACTTTATTTACTTCAATAGTGTCATAATACAAAAAATCCAAATCTATGTTGTGTAAAAATTTCATGCTGTATCGATTACTGGTGTCTCCATAAAACAAAATATGTGTTAAGTTTTACTATGGGAGTACCTACATATATGTAAATTCAAAACTTTAAAGCCGTTTTTCGCGAGCTTGTTTTTTGGAGTTATGACATTATTGAAGTAAATGGGCGATATGTTCGCGGATATGTAAATACACATATGTAGTTCATAAATGTGTTATTAGCGTGGTCCTTAAATGTAGGAAGCAAATTTTTACAGGAGATTTCCTAAGCTTCAGCCCATACGTCCATGCTACTATAGTCGAAGGAATCATATATAAATTTTGGTCCCGATTGGAGACAGTTAAGGCCTGTCGCACAGGGGACAAAGTTCAGATTCCCCTATGGAGACTCAAAAAATTAAAATTAATTCTAATTAATTCGATTGAAGTCGGTTAAGGCGTACGCCCCGGGATCAAAGTTCAGATTACCCTATGGAGACTCAAAAATTAAAATAAATTTTTTTTATCTAATATAAATTTCGGCCCCGATTGAAGTCAAATTACTCTATAAAGACGTCATTGTTTGAGTCTCCATCTGGCCTTTGACCCTGTTGCGACCCGCCTTAACTGACTTCAATCGGGACCAAAACTTGTATGTGATATCTTCGACTAAGGTAGTATCGATTTTGGGTATTAGATGGGGAAAAAATTAATTTAAATTTTTTGAGTTTCTATAGAGGAATCTGAAATTTGGCCCCTGTGCTACACGCCTTAACCGTGTCCAAATGGGACCAAAATTGTATGTGTGATATCTATGACCGTGGTATTACTGATTGAGGGGGTAAGACTGAAAAAAATCGCCCATTTGATTTTAAGGACCACCATAATGTCATACATACATACGAACGTGTGTATATGTGTACATTCATATGTACAAAAGCACAATATTTTGAATTGTAGAAACTAATCAGCTGGTTGCTTGACTGCTTTTTGAACAGCGTGCATGCCATAGATGATTGTCCATTAGAAAGATAGTGTTGAGTTTCAATGTAAGAATATATATTTAACTTAAATCGCAAAAGATTGGACGAGTTGTGAACATTTTACAATTTGCATTCTCTTTCATGCCAACTGAAGCCAATTGAATACGCCAAGTGAGGTCACATTCGTCTCCATTTGAACCTTCCATTGCTGAGAATGCCTTCCTGTTTCTCTGCCAGCATCCACAGGATCCGAAGTTAGTACTTTCAGAGCTGGAGCGTTTGTCGCCGTTCGCTATGTGTGAAGACCTGCAAATCTTCTGCGGAATTTATGTGTCATTGTCCAGTTACGACTTATAGAGTGTAGTCTTTGTATGACTAGAGAGGACTTTATCATTAAATAGCTTTTCAATAAAAAGAAAAATATTTAAAAAACACATTTCCAAAAAAATGTTAACAGGGATTTCCTTGAAAAAAAAATTTTAAGATGTTATTTATAACTCTAACCCTTTACTTGGAAAACCCTCTAGTGATATCACAAAATGAATTCTCATATGAACAACTTTCATTTTTTGTGAATTTTTTTTATTTATGTCTTATATGTAGTATATGTACTACATATTTGGTTAACATGCTAGTTTTAAGAAATGAGTAAAAACTTAATTTTCGAATGTCGTTTTCCTATATATGTTTTACAATAGAAATCGAAATTTTAAAATTTTTGTAAACAATTTTTTTTTTTAATTCTTTGTAAATATCTCGAAAACGTGCAATTTAAATGAAACATAATTTATAAACGAAAGACAGCAAATTTAATTGCCTTTCATGTGATATAACATTTATTTTATTCGGTTGGCAAATTTTCCAGTTATTAGACACTTTTATACCCGACTCTGCTTTCTGTATTCAAAAATCGTTATGTGGCGGTATCAAGAAAACCACATGACAGAAAAATAGAGTATGCAGATTGTCGGACTCAGCGATTGGTTTTACATGGGAATTGGATGGTTTGGTTCTTGGGTAAAAAAATCATAAATTATTTGTAAACCTGTGTAATTTGATACTATGACATGATGTTCAAAACTTAACCGTTTGTAACTGTGCGTGTTCATACAAAATCCATAGAAAGCTTCTATCATGGAATATGTTTTGGTTGTGACTAATTTAACTATGCCCACTTATTTCAAAATAATATTTATATTAGATTGAAAAATTATCTCCCTTGGATTCTATTAATACATTATCGGAAGTTGTCCATTTTCCTGCAGGGTTGCTATAGTGTGCGCTATTTATATACGTACAAATATAAGTGCACACATATTTACAGGCGGTTTTCCACCACTAAAACTTACCACACTGTCAAATCAGAGGCGGTGTACGGAGACGGAAACGGAGTAAATATACACTTCGTGTGCCAGCCAGTGTTGCCATAAGTAAAGATTTATCCTCGAAATGTAGATTTTTTCGGCTGTTTTTTATTAAAAATCTTCAAAAAAAGATTATTGAAAAAGCAAAATTTTACACTGAAAATATCTTTAAGATTTTATTGTATGATGTAAGACTTTTTAAGTTTAAGTTACAATTGTTAAAGAAAGAAAGATGTTATCTTTGATAAATACGTTTGACGTATGCAAACAATGGAAAATTTCAATAAAACTGCCATTTAACAAATATTTAGTATGAGTCTAGATGGCAAAAATGTATAACAAGAAGAAAGGAGCGCTAAGCTTTATAAAACAATATCCATAGAAAACCGAATTAAAAAGCTTAAAATTCTTGCGAAACTTTGACCAATTTTCTTAACTTTTGTACAAAGATTGATGTTTGGACTTTCATGGTTTTTGTTAGATAACATTAAATAAACAATAAACCAAATAATTTTAAGCAAAAAACTGCCGGCTTTACTTCTCATTTTCAAATTTAGAGCTGCCGTTAATTTCTTAATGATCCAATGGATCGTTTTAACTCAAAATAGTATGGGACCACCCTTGAGGCACCTCCTTTCTGATAAAAAAAATTATATATCGGTTCATGTGGATCTATTTCTTTCACGTATATTTGCCAAGAGTTCTTCAACGGCTCGGCGCTAGTGAGACATTCGCAATCGTATGCTGCGAATGGTTCATTATACTATACGAACACAGATATTTACATAAAAAATATTCATTTTTTGAAGTCGGTTAAAAACAAAAAAACGCGTTTTTTCAATGTCCGTATTTTATGCGTAGGTGTATTATTTGTAAAAACCTCAAATGAGATTTAGAAAGCAAACTGTGCTACAAATTTTGTGATGCCACGAAGACAATATTGATTTTTAGTTTTAAGATGAAATAAAAGGGACTCTATAATTTGAAATTGTTAATTTTTTCAGTCAACACAATAAAGGCTATTTACAGCCGTAGTGGCTACCGAATTGTGTGTTTCTTCGAGGGTATTTTTAAATTTAGATTTTTTGGGATCGAAAAGATTTTTTCATCTTTAAAATCTTAATTTGTAGAATGTTTTTGGAAAAAATTCAGATTTTTAGGGCACTTTCTCTGGCAACACTGGCACCAGCTAGATTGCTGCGTGGTAGATGGGCATACAAACAGACTCTCGATAAACAAGCGACCAGTTAAATTTCTTCTCACGAATTGTGAGCAAGCGGTTTCGGTCAAATACTATGCGAAGGGCTTCTAATATATAGATTTCGTTTCTAATTTTCTTAAAATTTAATAATTTACAAAATCGAATAGAATTAAGTAATTACAAATGTATACCCTTTGAAGAAATCCAATAGTTATGTTTTAACATATACTTATGTACATATGAAACATGTACATATATGTATAAAAAAATGAAAAGTAGTGGTGGTAAAGTTGTTAAAAAAATGTGAAAAAAATTGCTTCGATTGTTTGGCAGAGTTTTACACGAGCAAGCGTAGATGATTATTAGAATTGCGAGCACAATAATGGTGACGGTGACTACAACAAAAGTGAGTGCTAATGTTTTTGGCAGCGGCTGTTGGCTTTAACAAATGAAAAAATTAAGAGAATTGATTGTGTTTTAAAGGGCCTGGTACTTGGGGGAAATACATAAGAAGTGATTATAAGAAAGTTATTAGAAGCGTAAAACCACCCCCTGCGGCGTTATAAAGAGAAGAAAAAAATAGATTTGTCCAAAAGTTATATAGGAGAGGAATAATAGGAGACGAAGTGCTAAAACGGAATTCAACAATTCGAGCACATGCGTGAGGAAAATGTCAACTTACATACATACACACATATGTACATCTATTATTTGACCGAAGCGGTATTGCTCGATCTGTACAAGTGAACAACATCGGTATATAACTACGAGTATTTATAAAAAAAAAAAAATATTTGTAATGTGCAAACAATTTGTTTAAATAAATCCAAAATAAAGAAAGAAACCACCTAAATAACATACAATTGGAATATCACAGAAATATATGTACAGGAGTGACTTATGCGTTTTAAAACGTCGAAAAAGTGAGATAATCATTTCTGAGAAAGGTTACACAAATCGCTTATTATTAATCATTAATTATTGTTAATTTAAAACTATCTATGTATAATTATAAATATACCAGATACATATATGTAAATCTCCGTTACTGTGCCGAATAAGCAGCGACCAACATTGTACAAACATACATACACGCAGTTAATATTATATGTATGTATGTACGATGGCAATTTGTGAAAAATCGAATTAGGTAACGTTGAGGCCGACAGTAGAAGACCTAACAACAACAGGGAAGGCGGTGGTAAAACGTTGGGTGCAACATGAGGGAGTTGCTGATGGCATGCGTCGGCAATACGGTATCAGCTGACTAAAATAAAAGCGGTAGGTGCGGTGCAAATGCGGCTGGATAAAAACACAATAAATACTAAACGATACAAATTACATACCCTGTAGAGAAAGCTTAGACATTTCTAAACTGAATTTGAGTCGTATTTTACTTGAGACTTGCATCTTCAAACTTGGGTAATAACCTTATGGTCCGATTTGGTTCACATGAAAACCTGTTTTAAAAATATGTTTTTACTATTAACATATTTTATACTTATAGCCAGTTTCACAAAAGCAATTTAAGTGCAAAATTATTACTATTTTCTTTTTTTAATGTACATACATATGTACATGCAGTTAATGTACGAGAGCCTTAATTTATTTCATTCCGTATTTCAAAATTTAAAAGTTAAATATTATAACCAGTATTAGATTGGTTTATACATATATAACAAGTATAGTAAATTTGAAAAATACACATTTGTACATTAGGGTTAATCACTCTCTATAAAAAAATCACTACTCTTTCTCCATCAGAGTTATAAAAGATACTACACTCAAAAAAAAAAAAAACAGCAATCAAAATGAAGAAAAATTGGAACGAAATAGCATTAAAGAAGTTTTATACTCTTTTCATGCCCAACATTTCTTCAAAATGATAGATTACATCCACAGTTCCATATTTTCGTGTACGTTTTTACACATTCCAAAAAAAATTACTCATTCGGGAGAATTTTTTACTCATTCGGAAGAATTTTCGACCTTAAAGTAAGGAATGCTTTTCTTTATCCAGGGATGGATTTTTGGTTCAGTGTAAGTTATAAGATTTACGTGAGCTGGATTGATTTTAAAATACCGCCTAAAATACAGTTTTTATAGAAAAGTTCAAGCTTAAAAGGTCTGCATACAAATGTTTAAAAATGTTGTCAACGGAATCAAAATAAAGAGGTATTTCCAAATCGGTCCTGCTCACTTAAATCTTAATATATTTCCGAAGTATTTTAACAAAAGCTTAACAACCAAATTCAAAAAAATAAAAAAGACTGCCATTAAAATATGAATAAATTTTGGTACCTATTTTTGTTTTGTATGGAGAGTGATGCACCCTATGTACATATGTATAGTTCTGCACTTGATATAAATTTCCTAATTTCTTGTGGAATGTGGTAACTTTTTCTGGCAGTTTTAGTAACAAATAACAAAATCGTTGTGGCAACACTGAATGTAACCGCCGTTATGACAACCCCGGGATATAAAAATGTCCATCGATAGTTGTTTAATTTTCACAATGAGCCGAAATTACAATTTGCCCCTAGTAATTCATAAAGTGCTTCTTATTATTATTAAAAGTTTATTTTGATTGCTATGTGACTGATACGTTAACATACTAAAATCAGTTAAAACAAACAACCTTTTTGACGCTTAAAATGTTTTGTTTTTCAAAACAATTGTTTCGACACGCACGTGGTCAGTTCTTATTTCTAGTTTCAATAGAAGCGCACAAGAAATTTGTCGTTACGACCCTAATTGCAACGCGGAATTTTGTTCAGATCCTTTTCACGATTTGGTCTTTAGAGAGTACCTAGCTTTGCATGGTAAAGACATGAAAATTCGTCAAATTTTAAGTAACATCTCACCATTGGCACCAGAAACTGTTGTGATATATGTACATATGTATGTATGTATGTATGCATTAATTTTAAATTTGATGTTCAAACGTGTGTGTACAAACTAAGTAGAAATCCAATCGATAGCTAATGGATGCTGCTAACAATCTGCATTGTCTCCAAATCTAACCGATGACATCATTTATTCACTGTCAAAAGGCATTGTTACTTCCATATTTGGCCGTATGCATATGCTTATGGCCACTCATGAGCGATATACATAATTTTGAGTAATTACACTTCAGTTCACTTGAATAGGTACAGTAAATTTCTTAAATAACCAAGTTGAAACGAACTTTCTCTAATATGAAATAGTAGTTAGTAAAATTATAAAATTAAATATGCATTATAATTATATTTTTTGGAGATGTGTGAAGAGGAAGAATACTGTTATTTCATCAAAAATATCTATTTTTAACAGTTCTATAGCAGTTCTACGAAAAAATTCATTTTTCCCTAGTACAGGGTGGTCCATCTAATGTGTTTTTAATCCTATGTTATTTCGACAGTGAAAGCTCTTACCCGCTGGAAAGCACGAAAACTGCAAAACGGTTATTCCCCATATGTTAGTGTTTGGCCGAGCTTCTACCCCCGATTTGTGGCGTGCGCCTTGATGTTGTCACACAAAGCGGAGGGACTTACAGTTTTACGCCGACTCCGAACGGCGATTGTATTTTTATGAGAAGCTGTTTTTAATGGCAGAAATACACTTGAAGGTTTGCCATTGCCTACCGAGGGATGACCGCTGTCAAGAAAAAACTTTTTTTTTTTTTTATTTTTTTTTTGATGTTGCTTTGCCCAGGGCTTGAACCGAGGCGCAGCGGAGTAAAAGCGCGCATTGCTTACCGATACACCACATATATTACATATATGTCCATATTTAATTGAAGAGCTTTTTTTTCAACACCCACATCTATATACTTACATACAAATGTATTTCATGGTAACAACCTCCGCATATTACTCAAAATACTCGTACTTTAATATGCCACAGTGTTGCCTTTTATGTCATCGTTGTTACATTTATCAATTTTAAAATATACTAATTGTTCGAGGGTAATACTCTATACATACATGCATACATATACAGTGACTCAAACATATGACCACGTGTTGATTTTCTTCAAATATTCGTAATATTTTTCGAGATATTTTTTTTTTTAAATATGGTCTAAGCTTTAACCAAACCGTGTAAAACAGTTTCAAGCTTTATACAAAATGTTAGAAAATTCAGAAAATTTTCATCAAAATTTCAACTTTTTATTCCGAATTTTTAGAAGATTTTTTTGGGTATGCAGTTTTATAACCCATAAAATTTTTGTCTAATGAAGTGCAAGTTTCAAACGGCTAAAAAATCGCGTTGATTTTTGAGATTTTTTTTGGAAGGTACTTTTTCGGGGTTTTTAATATAACATGCGCAATTTGAAATTTTGTTGCTGACGGTCTCCCGCGTTTTATACAATTACCTTCCAAACGCCCAATGCTTTTTAACCGACTTCCAAAAAAGGAGGAGGTTATCAGTTCGTCGGAATATTTTTTTTTATTTTTTTTATGTATGTTACCGCATAACTTTGCACCACGTCAACCGATTTCAATAATTCTTTTTGCAACGGAAAGGTAGTGTCTCAGAGGTGGTCCCATACGAATTTGGTTTAGATCCGATCATCGGATCATGAAATATATAGATATATATATATTTTTTTAAGTCGGTTTTTTTTTTGCTAAAAATTACTTGTTACTATGAAAATACTCTTATTAGGGAAAAATTACCTTCCTGATTAGACCGGCGTTAAAGAGAAATTTCACTGACAATGGATCATTCAATTACCATTATTGAGTCCACGAAATTTGCATTCGAAATCATGTGTGAAAATGCGATTAATAAAAAACCGACTCCGTGTGTTGTATGGTTGCGTTATAATAAATAAATACGTTTGTCTTAGGTCTGAGAATTTTTTGGATATCCATATAATCCGGATATTCATATAGTCGAATATCTGAAGACAAACATCCGGTTTGTTCATATATTCGAATAGTGTATCGATATTCGGATATCCGAATAGAGTAAATATATTTAGATACTCGGATATTTGAATGATTAATGAAGTATAATATTATTTATTTTGCAATGAATTCCGGCAAATATTGTGTAGAACCGGATATCCGGATGTTATTTTTTATTTTATCTGAACGGATATCCGGATATCCGAATATACGGATAGTTTCTTTAGTGGGCTTTCGTAAAATCCTCTACTGGACACTTGTCATTTTTAATAAACTTCTTCAAATAAGGGTCGAAAATACACCACTATTTGTCAGTTTAACCCTCATACATTTATGACAAACTTTGTTTAAAGATCTATAAGAATATTTTCATCCCTTAACTGCCATTTTTAATGATCTTAAATGGAAGAACTATCCCTTATCGTAGGAATTAAGGAGTTAAATGTTCTACAAAAAAATTGCTTACAGAATTTTATTATATATACATCCCTGACGGCAAGTCTATTTACATACATGCTAAGTTAAGTATGTTAAGTTGACCGTTGATTTAAATTTTCAAAAACATTATACATATTGTGTTCTTATCTTTCTTTTTTCAGAAAACGCCAGCTAAAGCAACGCCTTTCTCCTATGCAACATGTTGATATATTCTTAAACAAAAACAACGACAATTCGATTAAAAAACAGTTACGATAAGAGCAACATTAACGTAATAATTAACAAAGCGATGAAAGCTATTTTAAATTTCATATCTTCACTGAAACACCATTTAGGCGTTTCATCCAAATGATTCAGAGTTATTTCGCATAATTCCAGCTTGATATCCACGAAGAGCATAAATAAAAGATGTTGCTCATAAGTGCGCTCGCACTAGGCTTGGTGGACACGACAAATTATAATGTGGGCATTCACTTGGGTGTATTTAATTTGGCGACAACGGCGGTAGCTGCAGCTACTACAGTGGCGATAAATACAGCGGTCGCTGCGGATGATGTGGATACTGTGATAGGCGGTGGCGCGATGCCCATGGCAGCCACAGAAAATGGGGAGTTAGAGAGTTCCCAAGTGAACGCTCTGACAGCAGGGACCGTTAGTGGCACTTCCATAGCGCATACAACAACATCGGTTGGGAGCAGTGCGGGAAGTGGCACCATCACATGGGACAACAATGGTACTCTTCGGTCACTTAATCCAGGCGACTGGTCGATTGAACAATGCGTGATTTGGCAAAGACCTCATCATCTTTATTTCCAATTGGGAAATGCCTTCTTTTTACTGGCATTTCTGGCGCCACACGGACCTTTCGGCGCTTTGTGGTTACGCGCGCTCATTCTCATCGGGTGCACACTGATGGCAATGTATGGCTACCTGGTGGAGTGTAAGCCCGATGTAGTACTTTGGTCTGGACTATTTTTCGTGGTCAATTTTATTTACCTGATTATTGTGCTGTGTCGGTTGCGGCCGGTTCGATTCGATAAGGAAATTGAGGGGGTAAGTAATCGCGGAAAATAAATTATTATTTATCGGCATTCAAAGCTGGACTAGTTAGAATAAGTAGTGCTTAAAAATTATAATACGTAGCGGTGTATTCCCGAAAATTGCAAATAAACCCTTTAGAGCGGTGATTCCCAAAGTGGTTCAGGTGGACCTCCAGGGGTTCACGGAAGACGCGACGGGGGTCTACGTTGGCGCTAAAAAAATATGGGGGTCCACGAGTTGTAAATCTGACCATCCACGAAAATGTACCAAGGTTTCGATAGTAAAGAACCAAAATGGTTGCTTGATAGCCTCTTTATTTAACTTAATTTTTTTTTTTTAATTTTTGTTTTAACTTTAATTTTTGTGTATAGTGCTCTTGACGCACTGCTGCACTTACCGTCACTTTGTGTCTTCATACGTGGGGAAGCCTTAAAGGCCACCTGCAGAAACGGATGTTGGAAAACACTGAGTGAGGCTAGGCGGAAATTGCTGGCGGCAGAGATTTGAGCATTTGTGTCTATAATACTGAGTTCCCTGAGGTTACTCGGGAGTGCCTGACAATGAGACATCTGACCATTTGGCCACAGTCAGTTTAGACCAGGCATTCCTCGATCCGCAATCAGTTATAGCACTCCCCACTTCGACCATCGAAGCCACCATCAGAATCTGGGTGAAAACTTCGCTCAGAATTAAGAAAAACTTAAAGAACTCAGCCAAAACCTTACTAATTTAGACTTAAGAGGTAAGGTATTTTCTCACCCTTTTAATTTATTTGCGAATAAGCTCATTCAAAGTATGATAGAGGAAGGTAAGATGAACGAGTGTCATTCCATGTTGAATTAAGATGTGTCAAAAAAATGGGACCATGAATGAGTTTTTTTGCAAAGAAATAAATAGGGTGAGAAAATAAATACCTTTCTACTTATACCTCATATGTCTATATCGGTAAAGATTTGGAGCAGTCATTCAAGTTTTTCTTACACAAATCTTTGAAAAAAGGTTAAAAAAAAACAGCATCAAAAATCTCATTATTTTGACTCGGTTGATACAATTTTTTAATATTTTTATGATTTTTAAGCTTAAACTGTTTTGTTATCTGAAGGGATTTTTTCCAAAAAATCCTTTACGAAACTATTTTCATATATAAATAAAAATCCTTTTTTAGAGGTATTTTCAAACCGGTCCAGCTCACGTTAATCTTAATATTTTTCCAAAATATTTTTTGGTAGAAGTCTTAAAATATACTAGGTTTGGTAATCCCGCCGGAAAAACCGCAACTTTTTTTGGTGATGCAGTCTAATGTACAGTAGTCGAAAAAATTATAGCCACACCAAATTTTCACAAGTTTTAAATATTACTTTTGTTGTTATTTAATTTTGGTTAGTCTTTTATAGTTCATTCTTTAACATGATCCGAATAAATACAAGGCAGGAGCGAACGCAGGTAGGGGTTTTGAGGAGGTAGGGGTTGAACCGGCCCTTAAAGTACAACATTTTGTATGTTCGGTATAATTACCGGTGAACGCGGAGTTACTAATCCTTTTTTTTGAGATAAACTTAATTTACCTATTTGGGAAAAAAGTGCATTTTCAATGTCCGTGAATCACCAAAACAAAAACGCAGCCCGTTCCGAATGCATTCGGTAAAAATAACGAACTTTTTTAAACTGAATACTTCTGCCCCTCCGGCTGCCGAATTAGCGCAAATTAAAGTGACAGCCGAAAATTCACCCGAGGAGTATCAAGTAGCGAGAAAATCAAAACGCTCCGACGCTGAGGACCCCAGTGCACCTGATTTCAGAGTAAGCCACCGATTCCCACAGTTCCCAGTATGTAATGATTAGATAGAGCAAATTCCTATTGGAAGTTTACTAAGGCTTAAAAATGGTCGCTTCTAGAAGTTTTAAAAAATTTTGACCACAATTGTTTTAAAAATGCGGACGACCTCTGCGTTCCGAAAATCAAGTTTTACATTCCCTGCGACAGAATTACATATTTACGTCTTTGCAGGTTCCGCTTAATGATGTGTCAAATGTTTGTCGCCGTAAACTAAGCGAATAATAAACCATCTACTTGAAAATCCGTGGGCACCGGATGCTACTTCTAAATTTCCGCCTTCGACCAAACCATTATTATCTGTTAAGACATGTCAGTTGTAATTTTCTACATTTCAAATTAAAATGCTATGCAATACTTCGGAAAACCTAAAATATTTATTGAAAGGTCAAAATTTGGATGAAATTAATAAAAAACGGTTTGTTCGATAAAAATATCCAGTTTATTCGATATTCGAAAAATCAAGATTAAAAAAAACCGCTTCTGTGTACATAGATTTCAAAAAAAAAAAATTTTCGAATGTGAATTTTCTCCAGCGACGGGTGGGGGAATGACTAATCTTTCACCCGAAACTCTTGAAAACAACAACGACTGAATGCGAGAATTGTCATTTGTACAACGGGGATGACTTTCCTTGAATTTGGTGAATGGCAATGCTGCTTCTTCATCCATTTTTGGTGCACTTCAGCGCATCTACTTCTATTCTGAGCATCTACCCAGAGATTTACTGTTTTCAAAACTCATGTCCAAAATCTCACCGTCAAACCGTTATGCACAACTCATTGGGAAAGCAGACTGAAGTCTGAATGATTAAAGTCATTAAATAGTTATCAGGCGAAAGAAATTTAGGAAGCTCTAATGCAGATTTTCTTTTCCCTTTTATCTGAAATATCCTGCTGTCCAATATGAAAACATGAATGCTTGGGTGACAAAACTATGCGATTTGAATTTGTCATTTACCTGTCTGTTTGGTATGACACCCATGAGTCGATAGGAAATTGAGCTGCATTTCTATCCACCTACAGAAATAAGGGCTTTGAATTTGCGGTGAAAGATGCTTTTTTATTGTGAAAATGTCGGGAGTTGAGCACCCCTCTCACAACTGAATAGAATTCGGACATACATAAATAGATTGGAACTATATAAAGACTAGAAAAAATTACGACATATTAAACCTGCAGCGATAAAACGGCCATTGGAGGTCCTTGAATTTCGTCAAGAAAAATGTTTTCGATGTATTTCCTAATGTTTTCGTTTCTCTTTCGAAATCTACTTTGGGTTTTTCGAAATCTTCTTTGGGATTTTCGAAATCGCAGCTCATCAAAACGTACCTAGGATCTACTATATTCCAATAAAGATTAATCGCTTTAGTTACTCAGATTGGCTTGTCCGAAGCCAAAGCACGTAGGTAAACTTTTTGTAATTGATATCTGAAAATTTTGCTTATAGTAGAAATTGTAATTTTTTTATTTCGACTATTTTTGCAATTGATTATCGTATATGAAAAAAGCAACCGAGGCAATAAGCATTATTATCAAAGGGCGCTTCGCTCCACTTACGCCCCAGGCGTCACTGCTTCTAAAGCCGGCCCTGCGTATGTATATCTTCATATAACGGTATTCGCTAGTTAATATTAGACTAAATTGCTAGGAGATCTACTGATTTGAAAAATTCACTTACATATATATTGAAGAAAAAAATCCACATAATTTTTAAATTAAAATGCATACATTGCTATGTTTCTTAATTTTTATTTTAATCTCGTTTTTTAGATTAATTATTATTTTTTATCTCAATTATGCTTGAGTCTAAATTTTCTTTACTTTCGTTTTACTTACAAATACTATATATGAATATTTGTTACACATTATAATCGAATGCTAAAAATATGCAAAATTCTTGTGTAAGTAAAATGATACCTGTTAAAAAGAAAAATTAGAAACAACATTTGGGGTATACAATACACCTGACCTGTTTGGTTATCAGGTTATCTGGTAATGTAGTTATATTTTATATAAATATATTTTATATATTTAGTTTACAACAAAACACGACATCTAGTGAATGATAATTTTTAACTAAATAACTTGATAACCAGACAGGTGTGATTACACCAATTGTTTCGAAATTACACTTTCAGTACGAGTTAATATTAAAAATTCTTCAAACTCTCAAAATTTAAGAAGTGAGCATGTGTATGTATGCGTAATTAATATGAAAATACATAAATAATAAGTTTATTTGTTATACTATATAAATCTATATACATGCGTACATACATATGTATCTTATATGACTAACACTCATAAATATAGAATATTGGTTAACATCCACTCCATCCTTAGAGTAACAGTAACTCATCTTATGCTTCTGTGCTAAGTTAGATTGAAACTCGCCATGATTATGCGTATGTATGTATGTATGTAGTATATGTAAGGCTGATTATTTAGTTGGATTTTGCAGGTCCATTTAGTTATGGGGGCTAGTAGTATGGCATGCCTTACAATATGAAAAGATATATAAGTATATATATTTATACATATATGTACATATGGGTATCACAGTTTCTATATGAATACTTCCAGTAAAATAACCTAAATTTAATGAATTGTTTTTACGATAAGTATTTTGAGATGGAGTTTAAGTGTACCTAATAATTTCGATGCTTGATTGCAGAACTAATACTAATACATATGTATGTCTGTGTATCAAGACACAATTGTCTTATAAACTAGAAATGCAATTAGTTTTTTGGTATATAGTTAGAAAAGTCGCATATCCTAGTACATACGTTGACGGTATTTGAAATTCGTGTTACCGCACTGTACTCTTATTTCCACAGATATGCATTGCCGGTAGCTGCCAGAGCTTATTACAATTTATTCGTATGAATTGTAGTTTGCCTATACATAGTTGTATATGTATGTGCTGATCGCTGGGATCCTAGCAGCCGGTGCTTTTTTTTTTTGGGGGATATATCCTCGTCCCATATGCATATGTAGCATAGCATAGTCCACTTTCTACTACCTTAGCTGATTTGTATTTTCGATGCTAGAAAATATAAATGAAGGCATGTAGCCAATAGCACAGTCATATTGCCCATGGCTATTGTCATATGGATGCGACGAAATGTTTTGTGGATACGTTGATAGTGTGGACAACTGATGAGATCACCCTGCTCGAGGGAGCCCACTTCCCGTCCACTGCCGATAGCACCTTCAATTCGATATTTTTCGTGCATTAGCCGCAGCATTGGAGGCGCCAGATAGAGGCGTATTATGAGCTCAATAGAAGCTGTGGCAGCCAACGCTGTCAGTTGAATCAATGCAGCCAAATTCCAGGAGTTGAGAAAGTACTTGACGAAAAGTACTAACATAATGATGCTCAATGCGGAGCTGAGAGCAAAATAACGGGGAAACAAAATCTGCTGACATTGGCCAAATGTGTGACGTGGCAATTGGAAGTACAATGAAAGACCTGAAATATATAAAAAGAAGGTTTTGTTAAACATTGGAAAATATTGAATACTACACGAGTATATGATAAGGTACATAAACATATGTATGTATGTATGTAGGCATATACGAACTTTGTGTACCGGAGTGAGTTTGAGTAGAATCGGTATTTAAAAAAAAAATAATAATTAATAAATAAATAATAGTGATTATAAAGTTTTGCTAAGAGTTTGGCCCAGCGTCGTTCTTCTAATTGACCATAACAAAAAAATGCCAAAAGCCGCTTTGAACCTGTTCGCACAGGTATAATAACAATATACCTTTCTGAATGCCACAGCCTTTGGAGTGAAGCCATTGACTCGTGAATATGAATGAACGACAATTGAAAATTTTATTACTCGGAAATCTCATTTTTATTTGCGCGTGAATTTTTCTCAGGCATATGCACAGAAATCCGCCTTTGACGCGTATGACTACTTAATACCCTGCAGGGAAACCCAGGGAAACTAGGGAAGCAAATTCGTAGTTCGGTGCTAGTTCTATATCGCCAAAAACGAACCAGTCCGATAGTAACTAGATTATCGCCAGTACGAAAGCAGCGAAAAGTGACACTTTTGCGAAACGATTTTATTTTACTTTCAAAACTACATATCGCTAGCTTAGAATGAAAGGTTGACAAGTCCGTCTTTTCAAAAAATTATGTTTTGATGCAAGAAGCAAAAAAAATTAAAAATGCATCGTTTTCTAAATTCTTTATTTTAACCGTTTCCATTCAAATTTACTAAAGCAAATATAGGCACACAAAATATGAAAACAAAAACTTTTTATAAGAAATCTAGATATAGGGTTTCGAATTTAGAACTGATTCGGAACTATCGAAAAGAGGATTACAGCGGTGAGCAATTGACACTCCGTAGAACATTGCAATGCTAAATTCGCCAGTTGCTGCCATGCAAAAGCGAATTAACCCGTACTAGTCATGGTTCTAAATTCTCTAGAACCGAATCAGTTCGGCACTAGCACATATGTATGAATGAACATATGCATGTATGTACATATCGAGTCCTAACCGCCAAAACGACATGAGCGATATTTTTTTCACAATTTGCTTTTTGGTGCAGAAATGTTTCCAGATCAACGTTTCTGCATCAACAACAAAATTTTCAATAAAATGTCGCTTACGTCTTTTTGGCGGTTAGGGCTCGATATGTATGGTCCTTGTTTGAAATCGAAATGGTCACTAAACGAAGCGTTTTAAAAACGCGACCACCAGCGTGAAGACAGTGTCATTGGTAGCTACTTACTAAATATAAGCAGATAAAGCACTGGCAACTGAGCCAATATTGACTGCAGTGCAGAATACACTTAGAAATATGTAGAAATAGTCTTTCTATTAAAATCCAATTTTTCCATTCCATTGTTGGTGATTACACTAACGCTTATGTCGTGAATCGTGTGTGAATACAGCGAGTAGAGCATTCGATGTCTGACTTTTTGATTTGGAAGTCCCAGCAGCAAATCTTTGCTTTATCTCAGTGAGGCCGAATTCAATAGAGCCCATTTTTTCATAGAATAGAACCAACTAGAAGGTAGCCCATGAAAAAGGATTAACAATTTTGAAAAAAAAAAACCTATATACATAGGAGACACCCTAATGTAATATGAATATGAGTATATGTGTGAAAGTATTTTTTATCACCGATTTTGTGATTTTAATATCTTGCAAACAAAAATATATTGCTTACGTAAATAGCGCATAAATTATCGTGTATGTATGTACGTACATATTTATGCATACATATTTACGCCTATACACGTACAATATATATACAAACGTACCTATTTTTAAAAATACTATACAAAAGTGTGCATATGGTTCAATGTCTTCAGTTAAAAATTGTTTGTATTTAATTTACTGGCATAATCCGATCATGTCTGACACCTTAACAAAAATATATGTATGTACATTAGGGTGGTCCCAAGGTGCATGTGAAAACGTAAAGTCGGATTTTTTACGCTCTTACCCCCTAGGATTGTTCTACGCCGAAAAAAGTATACCCGTATTTTTTTATTTTGAAAGCCAAAAATGTTCAGTGGTCGCTCAAAGCGCCCAAAGTTTTCCACGTATTTTATATAGGGAATCAACAACTTTTCGTAGAAATGGTATAGAATAGTTAAAAGTCAAAATTTGTCTACCAGAAAACTCTGTTTATCTGCAGGAGATTCCCACTAGTAATACCCAATTGTTTATTTAACCACTATTTCATCGCAACTATAATTTATAGGTCCGCCAAAACTCACCAAAAACCCGAAAAATGCAAAAATGGTATTAGGTATTATTATTGAAAGTCTCCTGAAAAGAACCAGAGTTTTCTAATCGAAAAATATTGATTTTCAAGAATTCTATACCATTTCTACGAAAAATTTTATTTTTCCCATATCAAAATACATGGAAAGCGCTTTGAGCGACCTCTAAATATTTTTTGATTTCAAAATAAAAAAACAAAGGTATACTTTTTTTGGTATAGAACAATCCCGGGGGGGTGAGAGCATTGCAATTGCGACTTTACTGTTTTGTGCCACCCTAATGTACATACGATATGTATTTAAGTGTCCAAGCGTTTACATATGCAAATATATGTTTAAGGACATATGTACATATGTATGTACATACATTGGACTCCATGCAGACTATTTCGAAATTGTTTAATTTTGGCTCAGTATCGGTTAGCGATTAATAACTGCATATGTACATAGAAAATATTTTCAAAAAGTCATACACAGTACATGCATTGTTTTGACATTGAAATTAGTTGTGTAATTGCATAATCTGGCTCCCCTAAAAGTCGCATGCCAGTTTTGGGCTAGCTTACATAAGTAATCCTGAAGGATTAGCACATGAGTAATATATACATATATACATAGTATTAAGAAATGTTTCATGTTTACTCAAGGCGAAAAACGATCTTTTTTTATGACTGTTTTAATGTGAATTTCCAAGTGGTAATATGAATGCATTTTTATGGACCATAAATTAGCTTACCATATACATACATACATATATTGACGCGCTTACAAATGTATTCATTGCACGTATTATGAAATGGAAACAACAACAAAACAAACATTTATCCTTACCCGAGATGAATGTCATCCATATTTGGGAACCGAAATGAGTTGCGAATGCAGCTAAGTATGCGATTACCGCCAATGTGTGGTGCTGCTGCTGCTGCTGCGGCGTCTGACATTCGCCGCCCTTAGATAATGCTTGTCCTCCTGCAACGCTTTTGGCGGTAGAATTGCGTGTGTCCACGATATCTGGCCAAACAGTGAATAGCACAAATGTCAGCACACAGACGGCGATTAAATGCGCTGGCTGCGCCGTGCTCGTCAGCATTCTGTAAAGAGAGATTAAAACAATAATTAGTAACTAAATAAAATATTGATATTTGTGTATACATATGTATGAATGTACGTTAGACAAAAAAGTTCTACTCGTCTAAGGGATAACACAACTCCAGCGGCTTAAAAAAAAATCGACTCGTCTAACTATATGAAACCAAGGGATGAAACAACTCTAGCGGCCGGAAATAGGCCTAAATTGTAGGGTTTTACGGGAGTATGGAAAATGGAACTGAATTTATGTTTAAGAGCGTTTATCGAGCATATAATTATGTACGAAAAACATGTTTTGCATTATCAATTAGATACAAAATGGCGGCTATTTGTACAGCCAGCTACTTAATGCTTTCGATAACAAAGAACTCAATTATCAAAAGTACTCAACACTTTCCAACACTAGTTAAAATACTGTCAAATCGAACCAGGCAATACATAGTCTAGACGTAGGGGTATCGTCCAATTGAAAAAGTGACGTTTCGAGACAAAAGGGAGCTTTAAGTTTTACAAGCGCCCAGAGGGGGGTATCTTTATAATAAAAATCATAATTTAACCGTTAAAATTGGATTTATATTTTTCTGATAAAATTTAATAGTTTCTTCATGATTTTTAATCTTCCGATCAAGAATTATCGCTATCTTTGATTTCTATTTTTTCGATAAACTTTTGTTGTTATTTTTAATTTTTAATTTTTAATTTTTTTTTGTTATATTATAACCGTTATTTTCTGATAGATCACACACGATTTAGTTTGCGTCTTAATGATGAGAAATGAATGAGAAAAAAATAAAAATTTAAAATAACGATTATTTTTTAACGAAAAATTAAAAATCACAAAATAATGATTTAATTTGATCGGCAAAATAAAAACAAAATTTAGCTATTTAGCATTAATCTAAAAATAAAAGTCTTGATATTCCACGTTTATTTTTGGTTCCTGAATTTTTCATGGTCCTGAGAGATACAAATACAGCTCTGAGAAATGCAGTTATAATGATATATCCGACCTTAGAATCGGGTCATAAATAAGATGGTTATAAAGAAAACTCTATGTTGGCTTTTTTAAAGACATGTCAATATTGCTAATTTGTATTACGCCAAACTCTTATCAAAGTAAAAGCTTCCGGTGTATATACAATTTTTTTTTAAGCGGTTCGACCGTTTGACATAAAATACACATCAATGTATGTTTCTTAGTAAACTTTAGGCCGGTTCGATTTTTAGCAATTAAATATTACAGTAACAAAGAACGTGCAGGTTTTATGAGTAAAAATTTTGTACATATCATAAGTAAGAAAAGCCTGCAAGTAAACCGAACTGGCTAAAGTTCGTGGATATTATTGCTTAGTGTGATCTTTGGCATGTTTTTTGCGTTGCAATTAAATACTTTCCTCTTTTTTCTATGCAAAATGAATCCCATTAATGTACATACATACATATGTAAAAAAAAAACAGGTATGTGTTCATTTATTGTTGCTAGGTGTTCCAGCGCGTGTGTCGCATGTATGGCCTTAGTGTTCCCCACCATTGCCATTTGGCGCACTGATAACCACATGAGCTTTAATTTGAGTTTCAAGTTTTCGCAGCGAGTGTTGGTTTTTGCATAGTAGTTCTTGAAGATCTGTTATTATTACATACATACATATTTTACTATGTATATGCATACAAACATGCATATGCATGCACATGCATGCATACATTAGGTATTGTAATATTCACTACAACTACATACATACATATATGTAATTCAAAAATATTTGCAACAAAACCACTCTCGTCGCATCGTTTACAGAGCTCATACTTTTGCATATTTACGCGCTTAGAAATATCGCTGCAGAATGGCGTACGTGCGAAAACGCATGCAATTTTTATTGAGGTTTAATTTTCATACGAGCACCAACTTGGAATCGGAGCGGCTGTGCTCGCGGACCCGGCGCTTATTGTTTATTTCCCGGCTTAAAAAAATAAATTTTAACCCCAATTTCGCAAACTCAACCGCAGTATAAATGTGCTATGGGCACATGTATAAAAATTTGCAACAACATTTCCACATACATATGTAGCAAATTGCTTGTTTGATAATCTGAGTAATTTGTGATTGATAAAAAAAAAAATTGTACTCAGAACACAAAACTATTACTCAAATTGACGATTTCAAGTAGAATTGTTTAATTCTAATAGTAAGTACGATAAGTCGATATACATACATATGTGCATATATATAATAATATCCTTAAAACTTGTAATTACTCCAACTCATTTTAAAGGAAATTGTGCATTATTTTCTAATATTTGAAAAAAAAATTTAAATGCCAATCATGCGCCAATGGAGTGTCAGCGGCTACAAATTTGCAGGTCGCATAGTGCATATTAGTCTACATACATATATCTAATCTAACTGCACATGTACATACCTACATGCATATCGTCACCTGAAGTGCAAAATGACGTAACTAAACATCGTTGCTGAAATGCAAAAAGTCGCAACTAATTCAAAAATTCAAAATTCACTTCTTGATTGGTATGGATGGATTTCATCGAATTACAACTACCCACATCGTTTTATGGAAACAAAAATAAATTATTAGTTTCGACTTTTTCCATTTCAGTGACGATGCTTGTAACGGCTTTTTGCATTTCAAGTGACGATATATATTACATGCGATTAGTAAATATTTTGACCAGTATTGTTCATGAAAATATTATTTAACATTCTTGATTAGTATTACTCACATTTGTACATATGTACCTACATGTGTGTGTAGGTAAATATTTGCATGCATATTGCAAGCTTAGAGTGAAGAGTTGCTAAGTCCACGCGAATCGATAGAATTGGACACTAATGACAATTTTTCGTATTTTTTGGGGCTTATCAATTTTAGTATGCCTTTTTTCGATCTTTTTGCAGACGAGGCATTTGTGCTTTCGCGGGTTTCGTACTTCAAAAAGTGACTTTTTATAAAAAAAAATCGACTTAACCCGTTTTCTCCCTAAGCTCCCTAAGCTAGCTATGTACATACGCTTATATGTATGTATTCCGTTTTCCTGAATAAAGGTTGTATTTCGACTGCTGAGTGGAAGATCGGAAGTTAGCTTTTCAATCATGAAACTTTGGTTACATATTGAGAAGTAGCATTCGAGTGAAACCTTAATTCATATAATTAGGGTATTCACAAAATGTCGTAAGCGTCGGTATGTTTTAATGTCGTACATTTTCTTAATGCAAAAGAACTGTTTAACTGTTTCTGGTGGGGTTTTAACTACACTGAAATATTTTTAAATTAATAAAAAATATTTAATTATTATCCCCTGCGATTCCACTAAAAGCCTTCAAATCGTTATTTTACATCAAAATAATTTACGATTTTAAGACATAATCCTAAAGTATTCTTTAAATACATATGTACATTAGAGTGGTCCTTAAAAATCAAATGAACGATTTTTTTCAGTCTCATCCCTAAATCGGTAATACCAAGGTCATAGATACCACATATAAATTTTGGTCCCAATTGGAGACCGTTAAGGCCTGTCGCACAGGGTTCAAAGTTCAGATTCCTATATAGAAACTTAAAAAAATTAAAATTTATTTTTTTTTCATTTAATACGTTTTGGTCCCGATTGGAGTGGGTTAAGACGTCTGCATGGGGTAATCTTAACTTTGACCCCTGTGCGACACGCCTTAACCGACAAAAATTTGTATGTGATATCCTCTACCATAGTAGTATCGATTTTGGGAATTAGATGAAAAAAAAATAAATTTTAATTTTTTGAGTTTTTATAGAGGAATGTGAACTTTGCACCCTATGCGCCACGCCGTAACGGTCTCCCAATTGGGACCAAAATTTATATGTGATATCTATGTCGGTGGTATAACCGATTGAGGGGCGATACTGAAAAAAATCGTTCATTTGGTTTTTAAGGACCATCCTTAAATTTCACAACATAAGAAAAATCTAATTTGTTCACGAAATTAGAGGTCACATATAATAAAACTGCTCTTTAGATTTTCTCTCTGAAATCAGGATTTTTTAAAGACATTGAATATTATAATTTCTAAAAAAAAATTATTTAAAAAATGCAGTGGGTATCAAAAAAATAAAAAATTCTGTAGAATTGAAAGAATTAAATTTTGTTTTTTTTGATAAATTTTGCCTATCCTAAACTAATAAAGTTAGACGACCGCTGTGGCTGAGGGGCTTGAAGTGCATACTACCACTCCGTAGAAACAGTTTCTAACGTTCCGTTAGCAACAACTACAGGTTTTGATATTCAATACATAAAACTGGATATGGAACGAACCACTCCTTTAACCTCTTCAACTACATTATAACCAGGTTTCGATGCATTTTAACATATATGCATATATATTAGGGTGCTTCACTGGAATCATAAAAAATAGTATGTTTTAAGACGTCCACCAAAATATTTCAAAAAACTATTAAGATTTACGTAAGCTGAACCGATTCGAAAATATCTAATGGCATAGAAGTAATACGCGGTAACACTAAGAAAAATTAAAAAAAAAGGAATTTTCTCCGAAAAATTTACGCGATGGCATTTTTCGTAGCTTCTTACCTACGACCTACACAAATAGCCACCTAATTCATAATATGACTTTTATGATACTTTTTCCTACCCACTAAATATATTTTCAGTCGTTTAAACGTAACTTACGATACCCTTGTGAATACCCCAATTGTGGTTAAACATTTAACTGTATTAAAACCAAATTTACATCTCACAAACATTGCAAATGTCAAGTTCTTAGGCACTACTTTACTGTTACTTGAACAACCTCAGATGCGATTTTTTCACTACCAAAGAATAACGTTGTGTACACTGTACGTATACTATACGTAAAATTCATAATCACTAGTAGACTTTGAAATACATTACTTTCTCAGGCGTAAACTTTTCAGGCGGTTGCGCGTGAAACTTGAAAATTACACATGTGCCTGTGTCTAAGTACATATTTACGCCTATACTATGTGACGTAGCACCTGCTGCAAAACTGATCTATATTTCTAAACACTGGCTGGCGTGACGTTGCTATCGTTCACACGCTTACGCTGCATTGCCATAAGTATGTACATACTGCATTACACAATCTGAATCGAACATTATTGGCACACGCGCGCTGTGACACTATGTGTACCTTCCCTGAGACGTTGCACCCAGCAACAGTGCAAATAACTTAAGCAATAAATTAGCCAAGCTGTTAAATGATCACAAGAAATTACATACTAGGTATGATAAATTATTACCTGTATAATTTGCTGCTTTGCATTTTTTCCGCAACGCCATGAAGTTGTTGTACAAAGTGTTTCGTCATTTGTGTTGTTATAGCCAGTGCGTCCATGTCGATTTTGTTGGTGTGATTGGGCTTGGTTGTTCCGGTCACCGCGAAGGCTTCGTCGGTACCAGCGGCGCCGATGTTTGTGATTTTATCCTGTGATTTACTGGTAGTTTGCAGGTTGCGGAAACGCCCACAAAGCCGTGGAATGCCCAACGTTCCCGTTTTATCTGGAGTGCGTGGATTTTTTGTTTCTGCTGCAGCAGTACTGTATGGACCCATATGCTGGTCAGAAATCTCCATGCTGGCTACGGTGGAATTCCGCTCGGCGGCACGCTTTCGCAGTGTATACTGAACGGTCTTTACAATTTTCTCGGGCATTCCATGCTCAACGAATTTCCGAATTTGATCATTTTGCATGCCAGAACCGGAACTGGAACTTAGACACATTTTGATTTTTTTTTTGTTTTAGTCGGTTTAATCAATTGAACGTATGTATGTAGGTTTGTTTGTGTGTGCATATGCGCTGGTATAACTTAAAAGGTTGTGTTATTTTACTAGCTGTCACTGTCATTAGTTTTGTGCTTAGCGTTTAAACGGATTAATTTTCTTTATTTATTTCACACACTTTTACAATTATTCACTACTTTCGAAAATGGATGAATAACTGGGTTTGCAATGTGAGATCGTCGTAACGGTTAACAGATTTCGGGCGTTTAACAAAATTTCGATGAAAGTATTTTTCCCGCTGGCGATTCCTTAAGTGATTTTCCGTCAATTGGACCGTACCGTAGCAATCGCACGAGACTTCGACTGCTCGAAGTATTCAACGCGTTTGAGTCGATTATCATTGCCGTGAGACTTTATATTCGTAAAATATATTCTTCGTTCACACCGTCTTCCCCTGCAACACCCCATTCTACCATCGCCCACCATGAAATCGCTCGCCGTTGTGCGGCGCATGCCACTCCAAGAACCGCGCAATGCTAGCAATGCGCTTTAATCATATGGCCCATTTTCTCATATTTTCACTCTCCATATGCCTTGCATGGCAATTTCGCTCAGTTGTTCAGCCGCTCGTTGGAAACGAATCGATCGCGCACTATTGTTCTCCGAGCTGAATTGGCGCAATGTAAGAGATGGACACTATCTCTTCGTGCTCACTTCGAGAATGTTATGTGTGCATATACCCTTCACTTCAGGCACCTAAATACTATGTAATATGTGGGAGGTGTTTGCCTATGTCCCAGCGCGAAGTGTTCGCCATTAATGTAATTGTTTGCTGTTGCCAGCCTAACCGTAGTGCTGTGGTTCAAATTTGAGCACTGCCACACGTGGATTTCACAACTAACCCCCACCCAAGTACCTACATACAAACAATGCCGTCTACATACCTACTTGATGTAAAGTATGGCTGATGTTGCGGTACCAGTGTGGAATTACGTGAGATTTGAAGCCTTCTAATATGGTGGTGACGGTACTTGTCTTTATTGCCGCTATTACTGTCGCTGTGATTGTCATCGGTGTTTCATGTGACGGCTTTTTAATGTCATTTTACTTCCAAATTTTGAAGAGGCATGCACGCAAGTAAAGGTTTTGGGATGATGCGCAAATTTATTTTATTTTGTTTTTTTTTATTGTCAGCGCATGCCGTTCAGAACATTGCACTATGGATGAAATGCCCAACTTTTCTAGTCAAACCATTGTTTTTGTGTTTGAAAATTCAAAATGAGTCGTCTACTCTACTGAACTTAAAATTATTTTTTTTACTTGCCGTCTCCATTAGCGTACAGCCATCGCAGGAAATCTGTCAGCTTAAGCAAGGGAAATGCTCAACGCAGAGCAATTTTTGTACTTGGGTATTTCATCGCAAAAGATTTCATTTCAATAACTGCTTACGAGTACATCCACACATGACAAAAATTATTATATTCGCAAAAATAGCTTACTCCAAGTTGTGTTGAGCATATATTTTATAGAAAAACACAACTTCATAAAAATTCAAAGCTAAAACAAGCTGTGAAACTAACTACATATTTGACAGCTCATCGCCTGCGATAGCTAGCAAGCGATATCTCCTGCGATGGCGATGAGCGGTATCCACAAGCGATTCATCGCCGGAGATCTATCGCAGCAGATGAACGATCGCTAATGGAGACAGCAAGTTATAAACATTACATATCGTCGGCTGAGTAGAAGATCGAGCTATCTCGGCAACAGTTCGAAAACGCCCAATCTCAGAAAACTTTTCAAGACCGCCCTATTTCAAAATTTTATTGAAAAACGCTCTATCTCAGAATTTGGTTTGGGCGTTCTACAACCAAATTCTGAGATAGGGTGTTTTTCAATAAAATCCTGAAATATGGAATTTTTCAACCAAGTTCTGAAGTAGGGCGTTCGTCATTTGTTCAAGGAACCGCCCTGAAATTGTACGACGAATAGGTAATTTTGTGGAGCACCTTAGCCCAAAAAGTTCATGTTTAGGGTCAATTTTGTCTCACGTTTTTCAAAAGTGTCTTAGAAGTCATATCTACAAGAACTTTACAGAACCAAATTATTCCACAAAAATGTTCCTAAAAAATTTAACCGAGGGTAACCAAACAAAAGAAAACTGCAAATAACTCTTCAAACATGGAAAATCTAAGTACATAAACCATAATTTTTTATGGGCCAAGCTTTAAATTTGTTTGTCTATTTATTTATATTTTACTGTATAATTCAATTTTTACAACATTTCTTACGATTTTGAGGTTATGACTAAAAAAAGGGGAATTTTGACCATGGTGCATTGTAGCAATTTGTACATATACATGCATATGCGTATGTACATAGTACACTCCAATCATGAACTATGTAAAATATAATTGAAATTCATAGTTCAAAACTCATCTGTTTCCTTTCTAAATTTTCTTAAGTGCATCGTTTATTTAGACAAATTAGGACCGATAGAAGAATGAATGAAATCAAAATAATTTGCGAGATTCAATTTAAAATTTAGCTATGGTAGTCACCAATATACATACATACATACATAATATGTATGTAGATTTATGGCGAATGAACCAGAAACATTTGCAGTGGAAAATTTTCAACTCTCCACACCATTGTAGTGTTTCTGAAATTTACACAAAACGCTTGTCAGCACTGCTGGCAGATGGAGCTGTCTTATGCTGCGAAATGCTTTTAGAATAGGTATCCTTATAAAAATGACACTTAGCTACTACTTAAGCGTAATAGTTTCGCCGTCACCATTCTAACCTAGGATATCTAAAATAGCTACAATACCTCTTTCAGCAAAATGCACTGGTTCCTGTCAAGGTTAGGCTAGGCTAGGCTCGCTAGCCGCTGTGTGGTTTCGCACGCACCACTAAAGTCCATAGCATGAGAGAGAATAATGAGAGGGGATCAAAATTGCAACAACAATCCCAAACAAAGACAGGTACAAACAGGAACAGACAGTTGTCCGCGAGCAGAGGGACTTTTCTACATCGGGGCTGCCTGTACTGGGTTATAAAGGAACTTCGGGAAACAAGACAGCTGACGAGGTGCGAGGAAAGGACATGAGATTGGTTTTTAGAAATCAAACGCCGAAAGACCCAGATTCACGAAGAGTTGTCACTTCAGCAGCATTCCTCAAAATCTTTTGTTTTTTTTTCTCAAAGACAACAACGGATCTATTCAACATTTTTTCAGTTCTTATGTAAATATGTATGTTTGTTTTTAAAAACATTTCAAATATCTGGGGTCCACTTTTACGGCGTGTATATCGCCTAGACATATGTACATATTTAATTACTTTGGATGGGTTTCGATTGGTTAAAAAATTATCATTCTTATGAAGTCCGAAAACTTAAAATTGTATCTAGTTTTTATTTTATATCAGTACGTGCTTATTGCTTTGTACTCCGATGTCAATATTAGCAACGAAAAAGATTCTGTAAAACAAAAGATTATGAGCTACATGCATACGTATGTAAAGACAAACATAAGTCTGTAGAAAACTTAAGGGGACTCTAAATTTCCATTTCATCTACTCAATTTCTGGAATAAATAAATCCCCAAAAAGTTTTTCGTGTTTTGCTTGTGACGCATTTTGAGGACAAGACATTTTCCCACGGTGTATGTACATACATACATATGCACACACACACATATGTAAGTATGCGTTGAAAATAGCTTCTGGTCATTAGTGAGTTCGTTCATTTGTTGGCATTTAGTAAAAGGGTTTTAAATAAAACAAACAGGGCGTTAAAGGGGAGTAGTTTGATCCAAAAAATACTCAATACTGAAATCGAGATGGTTTTAAAAGCGGCATTTACAGCCCGATTTGATTCTAATTCACACTAAGCTTTGTAATAACTTTGCAAAGCTTCAATCATATTCAGGGAAATGAGGAAGAGCGCGAGTGCTATAGAAATGGATTTGAGATGGGATTAAAGCAAGCAGTTCAGACCATAAAAACTCCCCTGGGATTCCTATCTTCAGAAGTTGAGAAGATGTCCAGAACAGCTACCAACAGCAACACGACGGCCCTGTATCGCGCTCACTCTGACCACTGATCGATGGAAGCCAAATGTTAGGCTTCTCACAGGAACACTAGACCTATGGACACATGGCTGCCAGGTTCGGAGCGCCGCATAACGATTTCTGCAGAAGCTGTAGAGATGAACAGGGAATCCAATCCATACGGAGGAAGCCCCTCAAATTCCTAGGGGCCACTTTTCGAGAGCTTAGGGAGCTTAGGGAAACCTCTACCATAGAATGTCTGGTAGGATTTGCAAGAAAAGCCGAATGGTTTATAGACATGCGGTCTTCAAGTGAACTCCTATCAGAGCTGCGCGTATAATTTAACCTAAACCAATCTTGCCACGCTGTGTAATTTGCTCTCAAGAAAGTTACTCCTACATACCCACATAAATCGCTACCTGTAGGTGAAAAGTCCATTTTTTTCTCAAACATACATTTTTCGTTTCTATTGAACAATTTCAAAAAATGGACTTGGCACCTTTTCACCCTTAGGTGTGACGAAATATTTTCCATCTGTTTCAGCTTTGCATGCTCTGTAACAAGGCAATTTGTTCTTTTACGCTCAATGTAGCTAAAAAAAGAATAAAGAATAGGCCTTTTCGCAAGCATTGCAGTAATTTTCTGATTATCAGATATTTATTTTTTCATACATTCGTAGGAGCAGCGCGCCGGGTTAGCTAGTACTTACATATTAATGAAGGGGTTGCCTTTGCTTTTTATTTGTTAATGAAATACCGAAAATATTTTTTGAAGCTGTGCGCCAACATATCGTACATTCAAGGCAGAAGCGATTGCTATTCATCAATTTAGAAGCGCATCTACTTTTTTTATTGTTTTACGATCGCTGTGTCATGGGCGATTCTAATTCATACATACATACATACATGCATTTGTACATATTTACATCACACCCATGAAAAT